GTGCACAAACGCATGATGTTCAGTGGTGTGGCAAATTCTTTTGGCGAGAGCACTTTGGTGATGAAATCTGCCACTCTGACTCACCTAAGTTGATATGGGTTCAAGGCAGTGTGTCAGCTGGATCTACCTGCACTGAAGTTGAGCACACCAGAAGGAAGTCCCTCTTGCAAGTCTACTGAGTAACAGCAACTTCATTCCTCCTTCTTGTTGGGGTAGGTGATGAGCGTGGTATTGTTTCACCTCACTAAATCATTCCGTCTATGATTCTTATAAAAACACCCAACGTCTTGTTACTTACTGGCAAGGTGAACTATGCATAGTCGTATTCATAAACATATAGACAATGTATCAATTGTTAAACTGAATGAATCTATTGTAGCACTTGACACTAACACTGAAAGTCATCTCTGCTGTTCATTCTAAACTATTCAAATTCCAGTCTTGTTTTCCTTACATAACTGTCATTGTTTATAATGTCTAAAATAAATGATGGTAGCATCTTTGTTGATTTTAAACAGAAGCCCCTCCTACAACAATAACGCTAGACAATAGTGGTCCTCTGCACCAATGTTGTGCCTTTAACAGAATGATCTAAAGAGAGAGTTAAACCATGGTTGGCAAGGATGGCAATGATCTACCAGACCAAAGCCTATCTGTGCTTAACTGGCAAGAACAACACCACGATGTCCAGATTGTTCCCTCGTGGAACCTGACATTTCAGAATCTCAACTAAAAACCATCATAACCACAGAAGTGACTGTGCTGATAGTGTTCTCACAAGGTTTCCTGTGATGGACAAATCAGTTATCTATGTATGGGTAGATGAAAATGACCCTGGCATTGAAATTGGCATGCCGTCTTGTTTACTGCAAACCTCAAAACAGGTTGGCTATCTAGGTGTACCTGTATATGTAGATATGCATCATTCAGATACAAAGCCATCAGACATTTGTTCATCTGGAAATATTGGAAATACTGTAGGTCAACAGGTGACAAGGAAATTTAATGAAAGCTTCCTCTACTGACATGTATGTATGTAAGATCATCTCAAAGCATCTTCGCATGATGAAAGGTCACACAGAAGTGCTGACACAACAGCTGGTTCTATAAATGGTGCAATATGTTCCTTAAGTATTTGATTTACAACTTCAATATATGGCTCAAAGACAGTTGATCCAACTATAGCAAACTGTTGTTGAGTGTTTTGATAATCGAGCTAACAAGTTCTTGTACTGTTTTGACAAACGTTGATTAACAACTGCTGTATTCACATTCAATGAAGGATGACGCGATGACAAAAGGGGCGGCTCAATAAGTTTGACAGAAGATTCTTAGCAAATAAGTGACGTTAACTGGGAACACTTTCTGGCATTATGACAACCACCGGGTTGTACCATTACAAATCTCCAGTGAGGGCTAGAATAATGCCGTGATTATATCCCATATTTGTCGTTGTTAGACAATATATAACTATATACAAATTATCAACCTCCATCTAGGACCACCTGTCTATGAAGGACAATTTCAACAATTAAAAGATTCAGCAAGCAGTTGCACTGCCCCATGCACATCATTCAACAGGCGTTAATTTACATAAATACAAAATCCTGAATAAATTTAATGCATACCATGTGACACTGAAATGATCATTCTTATGTGACTATTTCCCAAGAATGTCCATCAGAATTCACAATAGCTTGGGTGTTTGAGGCTCTAATTACTGTGATTGATATGGGATCAAACCCCAGCCCAGGCCAGCTTTTTCAATATTTGAGAATGAACTCTATCAACTCCAGACATTGTACCTTGACTGATACCATTTACACTTTGCATATCAATACAAGTGATTGGTTTATGGCATAACTATCATGGACAGAGTATATATGGAGTACAGTGAAATATGCAAGTCATTGATAAAATTACCACTATTCGTAGATGAAATCAGTCAAGACATTCAAAACATGAACAACCCAATGTGCAGATTATTTTTTGAAGCAGCGATAGGCTAACCTGATGTAGCAAATATGCTGTACATGTGAGCCAATCGACAGGTTACATAAGTACATCAACACTTCACCACCAACTGCAATAGGGCAACTGAGGCAACATTGTGTTCGGACACTAAACCAGAAATGGTCATTTAAAATAATGATGTAACCACAAAATGTGAGTTGCTAACCAAATTTGCATATATTTTTAAAATAATCATAATCTCATTCTTGTCACAAATATTGAATCAAACCTTGCTGGCCTGAACCAAATCATGCCAATGTATAGGAATAATTAGATTAAAATAAACACATTTCCTGAAGTGTGGTTGTAGCAAAGTTTATTTAACTATAAAAAACATGGCACAGAAACATTGAACTCAAATTTTGAGCAAACGGAATTTTAGCTCTCTTAATTTCCACAAAAAAGCACATACTGTAGAATACTTTATTTTCGCTTGGAATTTATTTTTGTTATTTTCGCTGAAGGGATGATTCCGTGAAAATAAAATCCCGCGAATAAACTTTTTTTCCTATATTTCACATTAAACACATCAGAAATCAGTGAAAATAAATTCCATACAAAACGCCCAAAAAGCCTTTTCAGTGAAAATTAATTCCAGCGAAAATAAAGTATTCCACAGTACATCATGCACAGGTCTCAATTATTTGTTTTTTAAAGTATGTGACAGCAGAACTGAACATGTTTTCTTGATGATAAGCTTGGAAGTCACTTTCCACAACTACAACTAATGTTGTTAAGTCTTAGAAACAAAATATAACAGGGAATTTTGAATTTTGTTTGCGCTGATTAAAGGTTGCCAAATGAGAAATCGTTTTAAAGCACGAGTAAAAGAAATATGCAAATGAATGGCCTGCATTCAAACTGACTAGGTCTTAGTGTCAATCATTTTGTGATTGCCTCGTACTCTACCCATACACTGGTGTTAGTTTTGAAGAGATTGTCCACATCAATGATTTTGATTGGTTCATATGCTACATACCGTTCAAATAACAATGCAGTGTCAGCCATGACATTTTAGCCTCCATGCCATGATGTTACACAAGTTGTTGAAAATTCTGTTTATGCATAAATTATTTAGTCTGATTAATTCCTTTGATTTCTCAAAGGGTGGCACTAAATTTATGGATAAAAATACAGAGAACACAGCATAGGCAACAGAGACATAGAGCAAACTTGTTATAGCTACTGTGGCATACATGATTATTCGTAAGTCGAAAAATTTGATGGAAATGTTGCAAACTAAATTATATAAATCTAGTCACTTTGCATTCACATTTGCCAGATACCTTGTACATTTCCCTCTGGATCCTGCCACTTTGTAACCATATTCCCCCATCCTAGCTACTATGTTTACATCTTTTCACTCACATCCTGTCACCTTATTTCATTTCAGCCACACTCTGCCACTTAATTCCCATACATCTCTTCACTCACACACCTTCTCAATTCCTTTTCACATTTTCCCCATACCATGTCCCTTTTTTCATTTTAGCCACACACTGCCATTTTGTTTCCATACGATTCTTTTATCACACCTTCTGACTTTGTTTCCACATTTCCCCCCCACGCCCTGTCACAGAATTTCCACATTTCCCCCACACCATGTAACTTTGTTTCCACATTTCCCCCACATTCTGTCACTTTGTTTCCACATTTCCCCCATACCCGGTAACAGAATTTCCACATTTCCCCCACACCATGTCACTTTGTTTCCACATTTCCCCCACACCCTGTCACTTTGTTTGCACATTTCCCCCATACCCGGTCACAGAATTTCCACATTTCCCCCCACACCGTGTCACTTTGTTTCCACATTTCCCCCACACCCTGTCACTTTGTTTGCACATTTCCCCCATACCCGGTCACAGAATTTCCACATTTCCCCCCACACCGTGTCACTTTGTTTCCACATTTCCCCCACACCGTGTCACTTTGTTTGCACATTTCCCCCATACCCCGGTCACAGAATTTCCACATCCCCCCCCCCACCGTGTCACTTTGTTTCCACATTTCCCCCACACCCTGTCACTTTGTTTGCACATTTCCCTCATACCCGGTCACAGAATTTCCACATTTCCCCCCACACCGTGTCACTTTGTTTCCACATTTCCCCCCACACCCTGACACTTTGTTTCCACATTTTCCCCACACCCAGTCATTTTGTTTCCACATTTCCCCCACACCCTGTCACTTTGTTTCCACATTTTCCCCACACCCTGTCATTTTGTTTCCACAATTCCCCCACATTCTGTCACTTTGCTTCCACATTTTCCCCACACCTTTGCAACTTTGTTTCCAACTTTGCGATTTAGTTTCCATACAGTCCTACTCCCACATACCCTGCCACTTTGTTTCCATGTTTTCCACACACATCCTATGATATATTCCTCGTTTCCTTATAACATATACACCCTGGCTGCCTGGCAACTGTTACACCCATGGACACTGATTTTGGTAAAGCAAAAAATGAACAAATAGACTTTCTTTCTGTAAGAAGACATAAAGAAATTATAATGCAAATACAAATACGATAATACAACATGATTATAATCCTATATTAAACATGGCACAATGATTTGATACAATATAGATACATTAGATTAGACTCATCTGAGAGCAGCACAGAAAACGTCAGTCAATTAATAAATATGTCAACAATACCTTTTACAAAGCATCAATTACAAAACAAAAACATTACGTCTTCTGATTAAATAAGTTGATATAATTATATCTTAGTCATGTTAATAATTGGAACCTCTAAATACAAGGTTTACTTTAAACATGTCACGTTTCTGACTCGATTCCTGCTTCAGATCTACTTAATGCTAACGCTTTCTCTAAATCATCTTGTTCTTGTCGCTGGATTTTCATTTGCCTCTCTTCTTCAAGCCTTTGACTTTCCATAGTTGCCCACTCAAGCTGTGCCTCTTCTGAGGAGAATTCTTTTATCTGTCATAGGTGAATAAAAAATCAGTGGTCACATTACTGGTAGATGTATTTGTTGATTCATTGTGATCGCCTTGTATGTATGCGTCATGCACACATACTACTGTATTACAGAAGCAAAATCAAAAAATGTCAGTCTAACCTGAGCTTTTCCAAAGTCTTTGCAAATCCTCCAAATCCTTCATACTGTGTACTAGTGGTGCTGCTAAATGGATCAATACCTCCACTAAATGGATCAGATGCTGGAGCTGATGGTGCACCGTCACCAAATGGATCAGACGATGAAATCGATGCTGTCCCACCACCAAATGGATCAGATGATGTCCCACCGCTAAATGGATCAGATGATGGAACTGCCGCTGTCCCACCACTGAAAGGATCAGATGCCGGAACTGATGCTGTCCCACCACTAAACGGATCAGATCCCGGTACACCACTGCTGAAAGGATCAGGTGTCTGAGCCAAAGTTGTACTGCCACTAAATGGATCAGATCCTTGAACCGATGGAGAACCACTGCTAAATGGATCAGATGCAGGCGTAACAGTTTTATCAGAGAATCCACTAAATGGATCTTTATCAGAATTACTAAACTGGAACGGATCATCGTTGGATGATTGAAATGGATCTACTACTTTATCGGAGGAAGCTGGTTTGCTTTTCTTTGGAGGTAGTGCTGGCATAGAGTCTTTAGTAGAAAATGTTTCCCCTCCAAATGTATCAGTGGCAATACTGGAAGCCTGAAACAACAGACAAAACATTCCAAGTTACACACCATGCAAATGTTGTTTCAAACCACATAAGAAGCTGAAGCTGAATTTTCCCCCCTAAGTGAGTTAGAATTCATGAAGTGCTCAACCAATAACTGCAGTGCACAGAAGAAACCTGTACCTTAGCTCATAAACACATTAATATATTTGTAAATGCTGACCCTGAGCTTTCATTCAAATTAAAATGTGTAATTGTAACTGGCTTGTGAAATCAACATTTTCTACATCAACACCAAGCATATATATGTCTTCAATCAAATATAGATATGACGTAGTATCTGTGATCACCCACATATTCAAATATACCAAAATGAAAGAAACAAGAAACCTAACTATCCAAATTTTCTTAATTTACTAAAGCATCATTTCCAAATGGGGAGTGAGAAGGAGAAATAAAAGTTACATAAAAGGAAGTGGTCTTATTTAATACCATATTTAAAGTAACAACATTTTCTAATGCACGGCTTAGAGTTTTTTAATCTGTATTACCGGTAGGCCAAAAAAAAAAAACTGGGTCGGAAAATTGGGTCGGTCAGTCAGGATTTTTTTTTTTTTTAAACTTGTGACAACTAAGGGTATCGTAAATAGCCGAGGTATATGGGGAAAAAAAAGCGACCCCATTTTTCATATTTTTCTGTTGGTTGCTGAGGGCAACAAAACAATTTTTTATTTTTGGCCTTATCATGAAATGTTTACATTTATACTAGCCATTATATCACAACACCATCGCTGGATTGGTATATTGGAATTCAAACAATGTTTATAATGTCTGCTGACCATACACTTTAACAATTCACTATCAATAACACAGGCCCTGTTTTTATTTTGCTGAATTAACATTCAACACTATCAGTGAAATTTACCCTACTTACAAACTGTGAACATTCGTGAGTTTCCTCAGACACAATCGTAATTGGAATCAATACCTTACTTGTATGTATTATCAAAGATATCAGCATTGTATACAATAACATAGCAATTTATATTTATAGAAGGTTGCACATGTTTACATTGTGTGTGAATGTGCATTGACCGATCGATGGGCAAGAATCAGCGTTCATATCCGAAGAAAGAAAAAATGTCAGTTGTTTTCATGGCTTTTATATGGTGTTATGTGTCCCTGTTAATAAAACAACATATAGACAATTTGTCACAGCAGATTGGAAGCTGGTGCTGATTGGTGGGCAACATGTTTAATCAGACATTTGTACGATGCAGGTAAAAGACGTTATGGAACCAGACAACTCACCTTACATTTGCTATCAAATGGATCAGTACTAAATAAATCGGTGGAAGTAAATGCATTATACGACTGTCCTACAAATGAAGCACATTCAGAAGCATCAATTGGTTAACCCTTTAAAAGCCATCATTTTTCCTGTCATAACTTTGGTTCAGCATTTTGCACAATTTTTCACTACAGTATTTCTGTAATTTTCTTATTAATTCTGGGTGAAATGGACATTGTTTCTTGTTGATTACAATCATTAAACAAACTTTTGAAAGAAGTAGGAAAATAATGTTTGATTTGAGTGAAGTGATAATAGAAGTTGAGTTGTTCGGTCAAAGGGGTTAATGCATTACTAATAAATAAACACAAACAAGCAAAGTAAATGTAAAATAAAACATACCGTCCACTGCTGTTGTAGATTTAAACGGGTCATCGGAAACCGTGTCTTCTTTGCCAGCACCAAATGGATCTGTATCTTTAAACGGATCGCTGGTAAAAATATCAGTCTTGAATGGATCAACTAAAAAAAAATAATAAATAGGAATTTTTTTTTGGAAATTTGTTCTTAATGTAATGAGATGACGTTGTTATCCCAGGTGTCCCCATTTTTAAAGTGAAGTTATCCATTGTTATGCTAATGAGTCGATAAGAGGTATTTAAAGAATGCCTCATTGGAACATTCTAATGTTGACATACTGTAAAATGACTAATTTTCACTGGGTTTAAATTTCGCTGATTTACCATTTCAGGCATATTCAGTGGGTTTTAAATTCACAGTTTTATCATTTAGATAATGTGTTCTATGCTAAATTTTACATATTCACTGGGTTTTAATTTAGCACATTTTCCAGTCAGCGAAATAAGCAAAATTAAAACCCAGTGAATAATTAATCCTTTTACAGTACATCACTTGCACTATGCAGTTCCTTTAAACGCAATATGGCTGTACAGCGATAAATCTGACTTATGATCATAACCAACATTGATCATCACAAATACCCTCGAAATACAACCAAGCAACACTCAACTTGTTTTGTTTTTTATTCACTCAGATTGCTACCTGTGAAGACATATCAGGCTTTAATTGGCCATCTAGAAAATAGTGACTTTATAAATAAATTTTTGCATCAATTGAAAAGTTTAATTTCACACTTCCAAGAAACTGGAGAGGACGAAATTTAACCCAAGGAAAATCGCACAAAGTACTAATCGGGAAACAGGAATGTATGAACAGGCTTTTGGGAGAAATGAAAGAAATGCGAATCTTGGAAGTTGTCTCAGTTTATGAATTTAAATTTCCAAGAAAAGTCGGAAACAGCAAGATTTAAGATTGGCAATAAAATCAGAGGGCTACACAACTAGATATGCTATAACTTATGAACATGATTCAAGTCAAAACATTCAAACACTTAAAAACTTGTGCAACTAATATATTATACTCTTTGCATTTACAACATTTGATATATCAAAGTATAGACCTTCTATACGTAATATGAATTTCAATTCTCCAACTCAACTTAACTCAAAATGCGAAATTCACATATTTCTTCATACTTCACAGATTTAGGGACATTTGTGAATACTCCAACTTGACAATGCACTGTACATACTCACCGTCTTTGAATGGATCAACTGTTTCAGTCAGTGTCATTGCAAATGGATCTTTACCATTAAATGCATCGGCATTTATGTCACTATCACCTTTCTCAAACCCCGAACCAGTACTGAATCCACTGAGACTGCTCACAGGACTGCTCCCTGCCTGGTAAAAATAAACACTCATTGGTCTACATAACGCTTACAAAGAAATGTACTTCGTGTATTGGATGCATGAAATAGATGTAGGTAATATGGTTGGGTAATGTATACTGAAGATCAAACTGAATCTGAGAAAATCATGCGACAACAAAAATTTCTAGAAGCTAAAAAGGGTAAGCTTAATAATAAATACTAGCCCAGTTTTTGGTTCTTGGACGGATTGGCAATCATGTGTACATGTGTTATAATGCCTATGTAAGCAAAGGGGATGGGATCAATGTTGAAATATGCCCGAAATATAATCGAAATATGCAGGTTCAGGCAGATATTTTATTATTATATAACTTAGGTTTTGTGCCAAACATGTTACTTTTGTATAGTAGACTACAGGCTATATTTGAATGTTTACAAAATGTTCATATACAAAAAAAAAAAATTTTTTAAATCACATACACACACGAAGAAAGCAGAAAAAGTACTTTGACCTAAGTACACATATTTTCAGATGTAACATCAGCCATCAGCCAAAGATGTGTATTCAACTTGTAAAACAAGTGGGTATACAACAACCCAGTAACGTGGCATTAAATGAAGGACCTTAACAATACTCACTGTTGCTCTTGCGCTAAATGAATCAATTTCAGACGGTGTTGGAGTCGTAGCATCTAACAGTGCATTGTCTATATCATAAATACTAGTAATAGCACCAGTCGATACTTTATTTAATATATCATTATGTCTGTCTATACTGTTGGTTAAGTTACGCTGTGTTTCTTTCAATTGGTTCACTTTACTTTGTTCCTGTAATGAAAAATAAATGACATCACTCAAATAAAAATGATTATGTCTCAATCCTAAACCATCTGATAAGTATATTGTAGACAAGCGTAGTACAATGTGACGACCTCACCTCATTTACATGTGATTGTGACTCTTTTAACGATTTGATCACTTCGTCTAATTGTGCTTTACCAGCTTCAACTTTCTGTTCTAACAAAGACTCTTCTTGTCTCAGATTATTCAGCTCTATTCTTAGTCTGTTTAATTCATCATCCTGGCTCTGAATTTAAATAAAATACAACTGTTAATAATTGCATGTTGCATATGAACATCTTTGCTGTACATTACCAGACTTATCAATAGCATGACATGTAGGCATGAGTGGCGCCCTCGCTGGCTGATCGGCATCAGACCCCACTAACATCTGACAGAATAGTCTTGTCAGCAAGATCAATAATGCAAATTCGCAAAGTTCATGCCTTATTGCAAAGAGTTTCAATGAATATTCATTTTGGTGGTCATGGTAACACCGTCAATCAAAGCCTTGTTTGCATTGTCGGCAAAAGACATAGACTGTTTTCAACAAGATGATAAATATAGGGCGGAAATTTGCCAGCACCTTATAACACATTATGTCAACAAACAAATAAACTTGCTGTGAATGGTTACTCTTAGATGGCTGTCACTATCTGACGTTCCTGCAATTTGATTGGTACCGACAAAAAATTGTTGGGGGAAGTGAAAAGCTACATTGTTCTGTCAGGCGTGTGTTAAGTTTCGAGCACCACAGAGGGCGCAACTCACACGACCTTGTCAGGCTATTATGAGTATTACCAGAGGTACATTACTTGGGGTTTGTAACTACGGTGACATGATACCAAGATCCCGTCACAATCTCGCTCTCGCATAAGCGTTCCAACTCAGAAAAAATGCGAATGCGCATGCCCGAGGTAACAGCTGCCCACGATATGACGGATTACGAGAACTATATTTTCTGTACATTTTCGATGTATTACATTTTTCACTACGATAGTGGCAAGAAAAGTTTTATTTTTTCATTACAAACCTTGAACATTGATATATGTCATGTCAGAAGGTCGTAGCCTCAGTCTCGCTATCTACGAGAAGAGACTTGAATGGGATCTTGACATGATGTCACCATACAGTACTATGCGAGTTGCAAACCCCAAGTAATGTACCTCTGGTATTACTTAATTAAATCGGTCCTGAATATGATTGACCTTATATTTTGGTAACACAAAAGCATGCAGCATTTTTGGTGTTGCTAAGTTTGTGATGTAAAATATAAAGCATAATAAAATTAAATCAAAGCACTCCACATTTGTTTATTGTCTACTGGGTGTGTTATCTGCGTGTTTCAGCATACATATGCATATGCATATACATATTTCAGGGCCACTACACACTAGTCGTTGAACCACCAAGGTTTTGGGCATAAACAAGCAAAAATAGGCGATATCACCAAGGATACAACATCAAAACACTGGAATGCCTTAATAAGACAGAATAGCAAACACTCTTAGACTATTAAATTAGAAGAATACACAACAGTATTACCTTTATTGTATTTTCTTGCGTAGATATTTGTGATCTCAATGTTTTAATATTCTGTTCCTCTTCTTCACACTTGTCTCTAACTTGAGCCAGTGTGGCTTCCAATTTGGCTTTAGATTCATCCAATTCATCTAGGTTCTTTTGTGCTTCTGTTTTCTGAAACTCTAGCTGCCTTAACTGTGTATTGGCTTTGTCAAGTTCACTTAGTAATTCCTGTATAATGAGAGTAGACAAACCCTCTTTATTAATATTACTTAAAAGTTGAATTCACTTTTCAAAATAGTGAGGTACCATTTCCTGACTAAAATATACACCACCAAATGTAGAGAATATGGATGGATTAATTGTGAAATTAAACTGCAGAATATAAATTAAGTTAAGGGGCTTTGTTTTTGGAGGTTAGTTACATTGTAGGTACATGTATGTCATTCTATGGGATAAGAAACCTCTAGGACTTACATGTTTTATATTGCGTGTTCTGAGAGTGACGTTTCACTTATTTGCAAAGTGTGAATGCAACTTTAAAGTGGCACTTCAAAGACCATTTCTGTAGCTCTATCACGGCTTTTGGAATATTAGGTTAAAAAGTGAATTTGAGTGAATTGTGGGGCAAATTTATTTAAAAGTTAAGATTCCATGTTATTCAAATTTGATTCTGCATGCCGAAATGTTACCGACTTGTTTTGGCTTCCAACTTGTTTGTGAATTCAAATTTCTTTGGCAACATTTTTGAATTGTTCCCATTCTGTTTCAGATTACATTTCACAGGAATTCAAAACAAAGCAAAATCATGACCTGTCACTTGTAGCATAGTGGTTGTCGTATCAGACTCATGATCGGTAGACCCAAGTTCAAATTTTACCTTAGGCTGAACATCGAAAGGGTCGACCCCTACCCTGGGTGAGTGTGCCACAGACTCAATGGGAAGGCCAATTCCACTGGCCGAGATTCATTCACTAACGAATGCAACTTTGAGGGAACTTTGGTTAAGGTCCGCAGGTGCTTGTGTTCGACCGAGCCTGGTCGACGCCTTGATAGCGTATTAAAATTGCAATTTGATAGGAAGATGGCCACACAGTCCTGTCATGTAGTCCCAAACAGGAAATGACTTCTGTGGCAAAATGTGTCAGCACTAGCACTTGCACTTACAAAATAAAAAAAAGTCAGGAGAGACAACAGTGACATCCAATGTCCGGAATTGTCGCCTGGCACAAAAACATTTAAAAAAAAAAAAAAATCATGACAAACTCTCATTTTGTTTCTCCGGTATTCCACACAAATTCTGGCTTTCAAATATGTCACATGTTACAACTGACCCGCCAACAACTCTATGATTGCTTTCAGAGAATAACTTTGATGTGCATATCATACTACAAACTATAATAATGTTGTAACATGCTTTATAGATGCCTGCCTTTAAGGGCTAAAAACTCAGAGAGTCAGATTTGAAAAATGAAACCAGCAGAGTGACTCAAACCTAAGAGAAGGGGAAAAAAAAACTTACACAGTTTTTCTACAATCTCCCCTCCCAGAGTATCTAATCATAAACACCTCACTTGACATAGTCCCAACTAATGAAAGGTAACTCAATTTTCAGTTCAATGACTACCATAAAAATACAAATTTGTATTTAACCAGACACTAGTTAGCTAATAACTAATGGTACTTTAAAGAGGCAATAGCATATATGTACAAAACATAATCACATACAAATTACCAAATCTGACCGAAATATTGTTTTAAACAATAGCATGGGCAAAGTTATGTGATGTGAAGACTAAGGGTCAAGTAGTCACCATTTTGTTGAAATCGGTCTTTGGGACTATAGAAAAGTATGACGCACAACGTACACGTTTATGGGAAATGAGAGGCCATCAGAGAGAGCCTTAAACCGTCAAAATGGTAACATATTTGACATTTTGTTCAGGGTCACCGGTAAGTTGTCATCTTGTACCGTAATCCCTTGATTTCTATAAAGACAACCCTGCAACATCTTTTTTACTTGCAAGTGAATTAATGGACAACGTCATTATGAAGTATATAAGCTATGCTTTTAGTGCCCACATTTAAGTAATTGATATTACAAATTGATACGAATGACACAGGATAGATAATTACAGCTATTGCGTTGTGCCGCGTCCTGTTCGGTATGGGACTCATAGCGACGTATACAATGCGTGTAAAATACATTGTTTATTTACATGAAATTCGAACATGCGCTCCGCGATGACCACCGCGCTTTAAGTACCACAATTGATAACACATTGATACAAAATATTACAACCAATGAACACCAAAAAACAAGCCAACAGTTCAGACTTTGACAAGCATTCCATGGATGGCTGAACCAACACCGCACCATACTTATTTGCTTGATAAAAACAAATTTCACAGAAATTAGAACACCAAATTGTCAACAACTGTTTTCATTACACAATACCAACCTGTACTTCATCTTCTTTCTGTTTACTAAGTGACTCCTTCTGATTGATGTCCAACAGCAATTGCGATTTCTCTCGTCCTAATTGGTCAATATCTTTGCTGATACTGTCTAGTTCTTTGATAGCAGAAAAATCTCCCATGCTGCTACTTGCACTGACATTACCGCTGCCAGTTCCGTCCTGCAATTACAAACAAGTTGTCAAGTTGGATACTGTAGAGTACTATATTTTTTCGCTATTTTCGCTGAAGGGATGATTCCATGAAAATAAAATCCAGCGAATATACTTTTTTTTCTACAGGTCACATTAAACTCATCAAAAATCAGTGAAAATAAATTCCAAGCAAAATGCCCAAAAAGCCTTTTCTGTGAAAATTAATTCCACAAAAATAAAGTATTCCACAGTAAGTACTTTGGGTTGACCTTTGTCAGATTTATTACATTTCGTGATGATATCTTCAATTCTAAATTTTTGACAAATGTTTTTGTAATTTCTGGTAAAAATGATATCTTTTAATTGTTCTTTAACACTACCAACATGATTGCTTTGATATTTGAGGTGTACATTAATTTTGTGAACAATTTGTTTGATGAAGTTAATGTTGATATGTTCTCAACAGCCAGAATCACGTTTATGGGTATGCATTGCTCAACTTGGCTACCACAATATTCTTGTAGGACAGTAGAGCTATTTTGGCCAATAAGTCACTTGTTCTATTTTTTAACTTTTATTTGATGGATATTTACTGAACATAAAATTTTTTTTAGAGCATTTTTAAGCATCGACTGGGTCCATCTGAGCAACAAATGTTTTTTTTTTTATTTCTATAAATAAATATGCAGCATCTGAAATACCGTGTAAGACGTACGTGACTATATTTACAGTGTATTACAGTAAAATCTGTATTAGAAGCCGTGGTTTCTATTGAAATGGTACAATGCAACAGAGAGGAAGCGGATTCTATTAGAACATCTACACACATGAAAAATCGTGGATTTTTTGTTCTCAATTGTTCAAAAAGAATGGGTGCGACTTTTATTAGAGATGCGGCTTCTAATACAGATTTTACGGTATATGAATTTTATGATGAAAATAAGGTAATAAATAATAGTGACTTACGGATAATGGTTTGGGTCTTGAAGATGGAGGAATCATTTCACCAGTTAGCTGCAGCGGTGGATCAACACCATTATTAGCTTTCTGACTTAAAAGATACAGTGCCAGAGCAAACTGCTCAGCATTCAGTCGACCAATCTGTTTCATATCACACAACATCCTGCACGAAAAAAACAGAATTATCGTATAAATTATAATCATCAGCAAGTAATACAATATGAACAACTCACCATATATGGTCAAGACAATATGAACAACTTGTCATAAATGGTAGAAAAGTCAATATGAACAACTTACCATATATGGTAGTAAAGTCAATATGAACAATTTACCATATATGGGCAAGACAATATGAACAACTTACCATATATGGGCAAGACAATATGAACAACTTACTATATATATATATATGGGGGCAAGACAATATGAACAACTCACCATATATGGGCAAGACAATATGTACAACTTACCATATATGGTAGTAAAGTCAATATGTACAACTTATCATATATGGGCAAGACAATATGTACAACTTACCATATATGGTAGTAAAGTCAATATGTACAACTCACCATATATGGGCAAGACAAGATGAATAACTTACCATATATGGGCAAGACAATATGAACAACTTAACATATATGGGCAAGTCAATATGAACAACTTACCATATATGGGCAAGTCGA